GCTTTACATTCTGCAAAACCTATAAACTCTTCTCGAATTCGTAATTCGCTCGGATCAGAAAAGCGCAGACATAGCGCCATCTGTTCTATCGTGGCAACATCTGTAGCCTCGTCTGCCATGAATCCAAAACATGGGGCTGCATTACAAGTTTTGACTATATCATCACTAATAATTTCCCCACATATCTCAATTATTTCATTTTGTATTTCTGGTGAAAGATAAGTTGTGTTATTAGTTGACTGAATATTCTCAAGCTTGCGCGATACCAAGTGTTCCCGTAGGAGGTCATTGTCCTTGCTTCTATACTGCAGTAGAGCCATAAAATTGCCCTTATCTTCTTCGTGTCCACGTAAGGCAATGTTTTGTTGACCACAAAATATGATTGTTTCTATGATTATTCCAAGAATTTGACGATTCCTGGTAACAATTTTATCATAATGGCTTGAGATCTGTCGAGTAACACTCTTAGTTTTTCCTTCTATAACACCGAGGAAGTCATCTGCAGCTGACAAAGAAGTTTCATGACTTTTCATTGTTATGTGACGCTGTATAAGTTTTGTTATGTTGCTCCAGTCGGTTACAGGAGTGACACCGAAAGTCTTCTCCTTAGACGTTCCACTTTTTGGACCAAAGAACCTACACGGTGCACAGTAGACACTATCCTTGGTTTTTGAATATTTCATCCACGTGTGTTCCAGAAACCATTTAGCCTTTGCTCTTCTAGTAGAATTCGAAATCACTCTGCAAAAAATATCAATCTTCTCTATTTTTTACGCAAATTTTATTTCAAAAGGCACAGTCTTCCAAAGGAAATAGTTAAGACTCAGTCAATGACAGAGTTTAAACTATATCTGTTCGACTCAATGTGTGACAATTATAACATTATAAATCCAACTATCTGCCATTTTCAGAAATATTCGAAACAAGAAAATTGCCCAAAGTACACTGATGCACACTCGCACTATCACTTACCATGTTAAGTGAACCATGAAATGGGATAAAACCCCTTATTTAGCATACAATTTAGATAGACCCTCTTATAAGGCACATGTACTAAGTTTCAAGATTATGTCACTACAACGTCATCATAAACTACCTTGAGTGACCAAAAACTTTTACCTATTCGGCGACGGACGGACGAACAGACAGACGGACGGACAGACGGATGCACAGACAAGAAAGCATAATGCCCATCTATTATCGTAGATAGGGCATAACAAATCAAAATTGTCGGACATGCACATATCCGTTATGTGTATAAACATCTTGCAAAATATAAAAGCTGTAGCTCTTAAACTATATTAGGTGTTATAGCCGGACAAACCATGCTCATGAACAATGAAATCGGGGTTAGAACGTAATTTGACATACAATTTAAAAAGATCACATCATAAGGAATATGTGTCCTTAGTTTCGAATTGACGTGACTTCAACTTCATCAAAAACTGCTTTGACCAAAAACTTTAACATGAAACGGAACGGACAGACAGAATAAATCAGTATGCCTCTCGATTTTTTTCTTCTCGCGAGGCTCAGTGCATGCAAATGTAAAGTGTTATGTTTATCTCTATTAATTATTTACTTGTAATTTAATCTTCTACTCTTTCTGGTTTAAAAATTCTGTTAACCAAGTAAAAAGCTTTTGATGCTAAAAAAGTAGAAGAGTTCTCTTTTTTTTCATCAAAAAGGTGCATTTCCCGTAGAAAATTTGTCAAATGAAACTTCCTATTGTCCGATTGACGACTAAGTCACTTTATTCTGTTTACTTCAACAATGTTAAATCAAATTTAAGATAAAATTCTAAAAAGTTGCTAGTTAGTTAAGGTTAATAAACTGCTTCGCTGAGCGCAGCTGGATACGCCCGCAGAGGTCCAACCCTGAACAGTTGGGGCAAAAATGGACACAATATTCAAGCTTGATACAGGTCTGAATTTGGATTGTAATTAAATATTTGACATATTATAGGTTTCTGAATAAATGTAGTCAAAGAACTTGAAATTGGTTATATGAATTGAATTTATATTCAATTAAAGATTTCTTGCTGTTGTGCAATACACTGTGCTGTTGCGCAATACTTAGTAAATCTGTTGTCCGACTATAAACAAATAAAGTTCAATTTCTTCTCAATGTCATATTTGAAATTTATGAAAATCAATAGGGAGATTACATCAATAGCTATAAATAATTCACCAAAGTTTCATGAGAACTGCTGAAAGCATTTTTGAGTTATTGTCGGAAAACTGGAAAATTCCCCCTTTTTTAATGAATAAAACCCCAAAACTCGGAAACGGTAAATCTGAAATTTATAAAAAACGAAAGGGAGCTCACGTCAATAGATATAAACAATTCACTAAAGTTTCATGCATATTGATTAAAGCTTTTTTTAGTTAATGTCCGACATGTTGACGACGGAAGGACGGACGGACAGACGGACGGACGAACGGACGGACGGACGGACAGACGGTCAACGGTATACCATTATACGTCCCGTAATCGACGTATAAAAAGGGTGGTAAAGGGTGGGGGTGGGGTGGTGGATAGTACTTACACGAAAAAAAAGTTAACTATTATTCAAAGTAGGAATAACAATTTCATGGTGAACGACAGTTGCGTGAAATAATTTCGTCCATGAACGTTGCATGATAAAAATTTACTATAACGAATGCATATCATAAGTTGGAAATCTTTAACTGGCCAGTATATGTATATACGTTTGAAGTTTCGAAATCTACAAGGAAAAGCATCAAATTATAATTCCGATTTCATTTTATCAACTTCCAAAACGAGAGACTTTTAATTGTACCAAGCACGGAAAACAAGAACTTTAAAACTGGAAGCATGGAAAATAAGCACTTTTAATTAAATTTGGGAACACGTTGAACGAAAGAGGCACCCGTCTTGCACGAAAATTAAAAAAAAGTGAAAACACGTTGATCGTCAAATGAAAAAAAAAAACGGTGAACACAGTTGCAAAATTACCCTTTACCACCCCCATTAAACTATAGTTTGACTGGACTGTTTAAGACTTATACATACCTCACAGGAAAGTCATAAGAATGAATTGATGTCCATGGTCTCTTAAGAATGTCATATTTTATTTCATCAGTTATTTTGGAATCTTCAGAAAAGATGTCAGGGTAAGGAGGCATAGAAGACGTGACAATTGTGTTTTGACAACCGGAGGACTCAGCCATTTTAAATTGTTTGCATCAGCAACAAAATCACGTGCTGGTTTCGTAAATGAAAAGAGTAGACTAGTTTTCGGAACGGAATATAGCTACAAAGTGATCATTAACATATTTGTATAATACTTTTATATTTACTTCATTACCTTAGTTTTATTCTTACTAGATTTACCATATTTTTATTTTTGTGAAATTTTCGATGTGCACGCAACTGCGTTTTTGCGTACGGGTTGCTACGCGCCTGCGCATGTAAAGCCTCATAATGATGATGTGCGTCGCTAATATGCAAAATTAACAAGTTTTTCATGCAGACATCTTTTTGTAGACAATGTATAATCTGGGAATAATATATTTCCCCGGTATAATACGCCATAATTATGGGAAAGGAATAACGGTCTTTATGCTTGTTTCTCTTCTACGAACATTTGAAAAAGTTCGACTCTGGGAGGAAAATTCAGTGGCTGATCCAGAAATTTTCATAAATGGGGGGGGACTGACTGACTGCCAAAGAGGGCGCCCGCTCCAGTCATGCTTCAGTGATTCCCTATATAATCAACAAAATTTTTTCCACAAAAGGGGGGCCCGGGCCCCTGAAATCCGCCTTTGCTGAATTTTGTCTATGGAATTTTCCCTGGAAATGTATAGGAATTGATATACAAAAATGTGAATCTGTTGAGAAAATATGATAAAAATTATAACTAAATAATAAACAACAAGATTTCAAATACTTTACCACAACTGTAGCCTCTGGCCTTTGTTAGTCTTGTATGTTTTTTAGTTCATTTATATGTTTTGGAGTTTAGTGTGACATCCATCAAGTTTCACTGAACTAGTACACAATTTTATTTAGGGGCCAGCTGAGGACCACCTCCGGGTGCGGGATTTTCTCGCTGCGTTGAAGACCGTGCCCATTGGTGGCCTTCGGCTGTTGTCTGCTCAGTTTTGGTCGGGTTGTTGTCTCTTTGACATATACCCCATTTCCATTCTCAATATTATTGATATGTATTTATTCAAAATATTAAAAACAATCTGGATTGCTGGTAAATTTTCTAAATCATAGCCGAGGGTCTGGATAGGCTTTACCAGAGACATATATACATGTGTATATATGTCTCTGGCTTTACAGAATAGTTAATAATGGACACCTGGGAACAATATATATGTTCCTGTGGACACTAAAAGTGCAGATTAAAGAGTACAAAAAAGAGACTAATAGACAAAACAAAACTGAAAGTTAGAGAATAATGGGTCGCTAAAATATAATGAATAGGGATTAATGGGCAAAAAAAAACGGTATAAAAATTAAATAATAAAGAAACGAAATCAAGTTGCATGTATTTAATGATTCATTATGCGTTACTGTAACGATATAATTTTTACCTTATCTCATCCCGGCGTATACTGAACTGACATTTTGGTATTCACATAATTAATTCATGTTATATTCCATATATTAATTATTTTTATGATTTTTTTAGTAGATATTATAAATATTGTAATAAAAAAAATACCATTGTACTAATTTTCACATCATTGTCCAGGAAATGGAAGTACGTAGTTTTGATGCTAATCCGTTTAGAACCGAAAACTATGTTTCCTCATAGCAACTAACATCTACACCAAAAATATATTCCGCCCTATTAATATGTCGTTCTTAAAATGAACAGTATAATATTTCATTAGTATGAATAAAATACCATAAATTAAAATATTATATACAAAAATCGATAATTCAATATATAATAATTATCGCATTAAAAGAAAGAAAAGGTTTAGAACTGAAACGCGGACTAATTTAAAAGTTTATTTGGGGTGTTGTTAGGCTCTGTGAACAGGACTGAATAATTTTCGTGGTTTTCGTTATCATTATTTGGAAAGATGGCACAGGGAGACCCAATGAAATGGGGTATGCCAGGATGGAGGATCGAACAGAAGTTTGCCCCCGGAGTATTGATCGGAAACTGGGGAGAGGACAGATATACAGTGAGTAAACCCTTGCAAATTTAGCTTTCACGTTCAGGAGCTCAATCAACCATTAGTGGCATTACAATTCGAATTAAATAACATTGTCATTCATTGATATTGATATCATGATTTTGTTCAAAATAATTATGATAATTTGAAACATCAACAAGGCTGTTTTAATGACCCTTATCCCTTTTTTTGGAATAAGCAAACTTAACCTTTTCAGCCTTTTGACATTGTACAAAAAATACCTTTTTGCACTTTGCAGTGTGTTTTTATAAATTTCCCTTCTTGTTTCAGGACTCACACTAGCAGGCAATGGGGGCAATAAATTCGCTTTCCCATCCCTCACTTTGCTTTGCCTGACACTCAAAAGCGATATCAAGTCGCCCTGTTGTTCGCCATACTCGCTTTCGTCATCTGCAATTTTCAATTTTACCAAGTCGATGAAACATCAATTTTTCATTTAAAAGTAAAGAAATTCAAAGAAAAAACGAGTTATTTTCTTTAGAAAAGAGGTTAAAGCTTTGACTTTACAGTTTGTTGCATGTTATTTCATAAAGAGACAACTTGTTATCACGCTTCCTGTACTCAAGAGCGTACATCAAATCATTCTAACTTTCAGTAAAATAAGTTTGTTACTTCATTAAAACGTGATGAAAGTTGCCTTCAGTAAATGTAAACAATGTTTATCAAAATCCTATGAGAATTTTGGTGATATCCTGCACAAGAATCAAACATATCAGTACTGTAAACCAGCTCATAATCTCTGATATTTCTTGTGCTTCGATTGCATCGAGACCTTTCTAAAAGATTTTGCAACGATTTTCTAACATAGTGTGGATTTTCTAATATAAGATAAGATCCAAGTTTGCTCACTGCACATGAGTTAATGAGTGATAATTGTCTGTGATTGGAACCTTATAAGGGGACGACCATTTGATATTCTGGGGGGGCCAGGAGGATTTGTTTTGGATCGGTTATTTATTTTTGTAAACTAAGAGGACAGATTATCTATTTTCTGCACTATTGAAGCAAGATTTTTCATTTTCATTAAAGCAAGGGACTTATTATTTATTTTCACAACTATATTTATAATATTCAAAAACATACAATGTTTAAATTATTTGTTTATTATAGATAATACATGTATAGTCAAGTCATTATGTACCATTTAATCAGAATTAATTATTATCCTCTGCAGAAATGAATCTTCTATATTCCCCAATGCATATACATGTATTGCATACATACACAGTATTAAAGTTGGGTTGTAACTAAGGCTCTTTTAAAAGTATTGGCAAACATGTTTCGCCGAGCGGAGCGAGGCAAAATTTTTTTTGAAGGGTTTTTGAACTGCTGAAGGCCCAAGAAGCTATAGAACAAATGATGCAAAATCATGCTTTCTGGGTGTTCCCCAGACCCATTCTTAAACTGAAAATGCAAGTTCTGTAATTTTTTGACAATATTTTGGTCTCAAAGCAAAATCACGTTATAGATTCATTGTAAGACTTAAGTTTCTAGGGACAACATCAAAAGACAAATATGCATGATAAAGCAAAAATGTAATTCACATAGTTAAGTCTGTGGCTGCTGTGTTTTTTTAAACTCATGATCAAGTTAATAATAAAATTACTAAATTACAAAATGAATGCAACACTAACAGAATACAGAAGGGCAATCAATGAACAAAAGACAAATAAATAAGAAACATTGATCCCGAAAAATCAGGGGCTACGTCTGAGGGAGAACAGAACTTGCTTCTTACAAGGCACTCACGGTGAACACCATTTGATATGGAGACAAGCGTTTGGTTTTGAAATTTCCTACATGAGGCATTTGTCTCAATGTAGTTACGGCCCTGATTTAATAAAAGTGAGGTAAGTGTTCCTGAGACAATTAACCTCAAGTTAAATGAAACCAATTTTCTGACATTTCAAGTATATTTAAATAATATTTATACTTTTATTATTAAAAGATATGGGAAGTGTTTCCCGATTTTTTTTGGAAAAAAGATGAATTTATGAAGAATCTGGTGCCATCTCATACTTTCGATTAGACCTGCTGAGTTATTTATTTTCAATACATTGCAAGTCAGGTAATTTATTTTCAAACTACCACAGAACAAACCATTTATTTTTGTGATTATCAAGGCTCAGTTATTTATTTTCAAAATCCTCCTGGCCCCCCCCAGAATATCAAATGGTCGTCCCCTAATTTACCTCAAAGAACTGGCAAATTAAATATTTCCTGCAATCATTGTCATATAAGAAATATCAGACAAACATTTATAGAAAATGCAAACAAATGCATGGCCACAACTTTTGCTATAGAAAACAGGGGCAGATGCAGCCATTTTAAAAAGGGAGGTTCCACCCCAAGATAAAGGGGTGGTTCCAACCATATGTCCCCATTCAAAAGCATCGACCATAAAGAAAAGGGGGGGTCCAACCCCCAGAAACCGTCCCTGGATCCGCCAATGGAAAAAGAAAATGTGGTATGATTGCCAATGAGACAACTCTCCACCAGAATGATGTACAAAGTTTTGTTTTTAATGCAAATTTGTGATCTAAATTGGACCTGGTTAGAAACAGCCTGCTTTTTTTTTATCACTGTGAATATGAGTCAATGAAGAGACAGTGTCATAATAGGAAACTCCATTTAATGCCCATATTATCTTTTGAAATATTATACAGCTTTAATTATGATTCAAACTTCTTTTTCATATACTGACATTTTCCTTTTGTTCTCATTTTTAGATATTTTTCCATATAGATTAATATAAAAGTTTGAAAATAAAAACTTTAAAAAAAATATTTTATAAAAAGTGAAAGTTAAAAAAATTATTGTCTATAGTTTAATAAAGAAAAAAAAATGGTATTCAACCATGCATATTTTCTTTTATCAATTCAGTTTTTAAGAGGTGACCAAAAACACAACAGCACACACAGAACTGACTTCAGAAATTTTGCTGGACATAGACCAGATGTGCTTGTTAGGAGGAAAGCTTTGATGAAAAATGATGGAATAGGACCAGAAGCTCTCTTCCATCACCATGGCAACCGATACTCCAATAATATGGTTTCCTGGTATGATGAGAACTTTAATGGAAGATGGAAGGACAATACATTACCTGACCTCCGTGACTGGAATGGTCACCAGTTGGCATGGGCTCCAGAAAAGTCAGACTTTCCCTTACAAGGTAAAATAAAACATCAATTGAATAGAATTCTTATCCTGTGGATTCATTTTTTTTTGTGGATTGAGGAAAAATGTGATTTGTGGTTTAAACATGTATGTATATATTTGACTTTTTGTATGATCATATACATACATTTGTATATGCATGTCCATGTACATTTGCAGAACTAAACTTTTCAGAAGTTTCTTTTTCCACATGTACAAGTTGTTGTAAAGACAATCAAAATAATTGTGAGAAAGTGGTTTACAAAATGATTATTCCTTTACCGTGCAAGTACCAATTCAGGGTTCTCACTAAGGATTTATGTTGGCGAGTCCAGGGACTCACTATTTTTGGCCATGGTGAGTCCAACAGTGAAAAGAAGAATTTTTATTGCTATTTATAAGAATTTAATTTACCATTTCAGCCTCCATGACAAAATACAGCAAGGAAATGACATCACATTTAGATTGATTTTTAAATTGATGCTATAAACTTAATAAAATGATGATATCAGGGCTCAGGTGATGCAACAATTTACAATCTTGATGCATTTTTGGACTCACCAGTTTTGAAAATGGTGAGTCCAAACAGATTTTCATGAGTCCATGACTCATGGACTCAGTCATGGACTCGCCTTAGTGAGAACCCTGCCAATCATTTGTGGATTGAGGCAAATTGTATTTTCAATTTCATGAATACTTGATTTTGTTTGGTTTAAACACAAATTCAGCATACAGACCTATAGGACATGTATATTTTCCTTTCAGTATTTATAACCTCAACCCGAGAAAGTTAATATAATAGTTTGATCCTACAGCTAGTAATGAATCAACAGTAGTTAAACAAATTTTTGGGACATTTTATGGTATCAGCAATATATATTATTGTTTAAATTGAGCAACATCTGTGTTTATTTTTATTTCCTCAATATGGTGATTAATGATTGATACAAACATTATTTCAGTAATTGACCTGATTAAGAAAGATTAATTGTAATTAGACTATAATCCGCATTGATGATATTTGTTGTAGTTACTTGGTTACATGTAGATAGTCACAAAAGGACTAATTAGAACTTGTATTGGATACACATTAAATTCATGTTCTGTCATGAAACCATGAATAGTTACTAAGTAAAAATGTTATCAATTTGATTGAATGTACATAATACTATAAGTTATATGGTTCGCTACTGACCCCCTACAGACCATAGAGGGTGAATAAAATCCATAGGGGGTGAGGCCGAAGGCCGAATCCCCTATGGATTTTATTCACCCTCTATGGTCTGTAGGGGGTCAGTAGTGAACCGTATAACGAATTTATCGCATGCGATACTTTTTCTGCAGCGTTTTGTAGAAAAATAAACAATGAAATACAAAAACATCAATAGATGACGTCACCATTAACAGTAGCCGTGACGTCATGAACCCACTATGAAATTTACTAACCCCCTACGGATCCATAGGGGGTCACCACGTGACGGCGTTAAACCAATCACAACGTAATAATTTACCCACGGTGCGATAAATGTGTATGATGCTTTTAAATTTTGTTCAGTGACATTTTTTTCACATTTCAGTTTTAGTACTTTATTGTAAAGTGTATATACATTCTTTTGTAAATGTATATTATACAATTATAGCCTTTGTATGAGGTCGATACAAGGTTATATCGACCTAAGAGAAGCATATTGACTGAGGACGAAGTCTGAGGTCGATATGGTTCTCTAGGTCGATATAACATCGTATTGACCTCAACCAAAGGCTATAATTGTTATATTATTAATCAACAACTATTGCGTGAACAATGTAAAATTGGGGATTTCTAGAATGTATTTTTAGTAATATGCTGTATGCCCTGTGTTTTTGACCTACGAAAAGCTAAACGCGTGCAAACTGAGTAAATACAAATGTATATGTGATCAAGTTTTAGCGAATAACAAATCCTTTAAAATATTCGATTAATAATATTAAATATTATTTCAATATTATACTTTTAAAAATCCTAAATGAGGCAGAGAAAGGTAAAACATATACCAGTTTTATGTGACATGGTCCACTTCTCCCTGTTTAAGAAAGAGACAGAAATATATAGATCTATTAAAAGGTTTAAATGACTTGAATTCTTTTACTTTTCATACATGTACGTGTAACTTTTTTTGGTATATGAAAGTACAGGAAATTACAATATGTTATTCGTTGTATGGTGACCTATAGTTGTTTACATCCACAGCATTTCAAGCAGGGTTTGAAATTAGCAGGGGCCCACTCGCCAATGGCCCCTAAAATTTGGTGTGGGCTACTAAAATTTCTGTTTTTCTTGTATAGAACTATATATATCGGCTACCAAAATTTAAGCTGTGGACTACCATGCCAAAATTTTAACTTCAATCCCCGATTTGGTCTGTGGTGGGTAATAGACTCATTGGCAACGCTACCACATCTCATTATTTTTATATTAATACTTTTAACTATTGATGTTTGCAAAATATTTTGGGATTCCTTTCCTGCCCTCCCACATCAATTGAAATGGAATAGCCCAAATTTGTATGTTTGTAAACCAATAACAAATCATTATTTCTTTTTAGGTAAACCTACAAACTATGGTTTATTAGATACCATGAAGCAAAAATGGGCAGATCAGATTGCTGATGAAACAAAGGGAGATTTCTTATCCACATACCAGAATTCATTCATCAAACCGTCAGGAGAAGCATTTACATCCGTTAGATATGCAATACCTAAAGCACAATCCACGTCTCTCCACCCATACAACAGTGTAAACAAAGATTTGAAGTTACGTGGCGGTACCTCCTTCAAGTCGCCGGAAAGACTACCCGAAATTACTCCAGTTACCTCCTAAATTCTTTTAGTATAATTATAGATATTAATTTAAACTTGAAGAACCCATTTATATGGTATTCGTTTCAATATTAGTGAACAAAATTATGTACATTCATAGAATCCATTTTTATGGTATTTATTTCAATATTAGTTAAGAAAATTATGTACATTCATACAAAAATATGTGATATTTTTATATTATTTATTATATTGTTATTCAAAGATTTGAAACATCATTATGATATATCCCCTATGTTTATCTTAATAAGGGGAGATAATTCCATTATTTTTTTCTTCTAATTTCCAGTTTGATCATTCAGTGCTTTCTAAATTATAACTTATATACTAGTATTTGAATTCATTTTTTCAGATTTAAAAGTATTGTTGGAAATTTCATAATTTGTACACCAAGATGAAAATAATGTTAAATCATTGGCTGAATAGCCACTGTTTAGTAGAACGTTGTTACTGATCAAATCGTATTGGTGTACACTGTTGAAAATATTACCTTATATACATTAGTTTCTGAAAAGGCGAATTACAAGTTTATACTTTATAACTGCTTTTATATAATCAAAATATTGCATTTCTAGTCTTTGTAAAGTTTAATATTAGAAATTGTTTATTATGTTTTTATGGTATATCTCTTTTATATGAAACATTTTCTTTTATATTTATAAAATATGGATTAGTAGTTGGTTATAAAAATGAAATCTACCAGTATACCTTAAAGGAGTTAAAAAAATATGGAAAAGATTGAAACTGTCAACATCCCTAAATTTTTACTTTATGTACAGGGGAAAACAATAAACTTTTCTAAGATCTAATTTCTTTAGGGCTATTCCATTAGAATGGGAGGGTAGGAAAGGAAGTTTTATTTTTGGAAATGGGTTATCTGCCATTTATGATTTTATGACCATTTATAGATGTATTTAAAATTACCCAAAGTATGTTAGTTGTACTTGTAAGGATTTTGGAAGTCCCTACCTCTCACATCCATTTAAATGGAATAACTCTTTAAAAATGGCATTATAGTAATTACTTTAGATTATCATTTTCTTTTTTTTTAAAAGGTTGTTTTTTTGTTATCATGTACTTAGAATATGCATTAGTGTGTTCATTTTCAATATTACTACATATGTTATACTTCATGGATGGATTGTAAACTGTTATGAAAGACCAATTATTCATTGTTGGGTCATTAGCGTGTATATTTATCTCTTCTTATAATGTATATATAGTTTATTCGTATGATGTATGTATTTTTTGTTTTTCATTGTTTTTTTCTAATGAAAAATATATTATATGCTAAGTCCTAGCTTCCTGCATTTAATATCCAACTAGTGTTATACCAAGGGAAATCTGTTTTGAGAAAATATTTTGATATTGAAAATTAAAATTATGAATTTTAGATTTTATATGTAACTTGATTATCATCATTCAACCATGACAACTATTTTGATGCTCTCTGCATATTATTTAATGGGAGTAATTTTGAATTATTTTTTTTTTGAGATTTGGGACAGAAAAATTAACAATGTTTCATTTGATAATTTGAATTTAATTATTGTTGATACATAAATATCTTTTTTAAGTTTTCTATTTGTGTGTAAATCTGAGTGCAATCATTTTCTGTTTGTGAGTCTTAAATTTTTTTTATCACATATTCAATGCAATTCAAAATTAAGCTATATGAAAAATGTATCACAAATACAAAATGTATTTTATGAAAAAAAAAGTTTGGGACAATACCCTAGAAAATAATACAAAATACCTATAAATGGAAGTCTTATTGTAATATAATGTCATAATTTAAAAAAAAATCTACAAAACTTTGATAAGAGAGTGAGCTTGAGCATTATTTAAACAAATATTTTGTTTCACCTGTGAAAAAATATTTTAATGGAATATTTTTAAATATTACCATTATTGTTACCTTTTTGCACTTAAGACCATGACTTGAAATATAGGTTGTTTTAACAGATGAATTATAGGACATTCTCAAGTAGAATGTGTCTGTAAAAGAATGTTGTACCACCCATAGATGTGGAATTAAGATAGATTGATTGTATAGTATTTATTATAAAGTATTATTGCACCAACAATATAGGTGTGTGTTTTTTTTTTATCTTTACACTTTTTTGTTATGCTTGTTGCTGTTTTCATAGTTATCTTCTCTTTTTTGCTCAATTTTATATATATGCATATATTTATATATACATTTTCATTATCAGTATTATAAACTAAGTATTCCAACTTTATTTGTTTGTTTGGAGGTCTAAATCTTGAATTATATATATATATCACAATAAATAAGTATTAAAATTTTGCTCAGTATATAACACAGTTTATAAATAACTTTTTTTAGAAAAGGTTTAAAAATTAAAATCACATGCTTTACTTAAAGTATTAAAAGAAAAGAAAGAAACTGAAGTAAAGTTTTTAAAAACTCTTGAGGGTAGTTTAATTCTTCCAAAAATATGTTGTACTAAGTGGAGACAACTCTTCATATTAGATATTGCTCACCAACAGAGCTAACATCATATTAATTGTAACTACACATATGCTATGTTATAATCATTATTATACTTGCCTTACTGAATATTACCTTATAGCCTATAATCATTGCTTTAAATTCACAAGTTAACATCAATCATTCTCAATTGGAACACTTTGATGTTCAATGAAGTGTATACATATATAGAAAACCAGTATTTTTAAAGTTTTTTCTAAGATTTTGTATTTGCTGTTGAATTTAAGATAATTTTTGTTAAAAAGTCAGCCAAAAAAAATGGCTCTTTTTAAAAAAAATATTCAATCCCAATTTTATTTTATAAATGGATTGATATTTAGCATTTATCACTATTTAACTATACAAAATTCAGAATTCTAACTTTAATTGGTAGAAAGATTTTCCAATTTTAAATGAGCTACGATTGTTGCGAAGTTTGATAGTCTGCAAGACAGAACTGGTTCTTTTTTCAAATTATTGGTCAGTGTACATTTCTGTTATAAATGGTCTGAAATACAGTATTTTTCCTATTTAGCTGTACAGAATGCTGAATTGATACTTTTGTATGTTAGAAAGATTTCATGTTTTTAGAACTTTTTAGAAGCTGTGTGTTGTTAAGTTTGAGAATTTTATGATCATATTTACATTAGCACTCTGTGATACTTCAATAAAAATTGTGATAAAGTATATTGTTTTGTTCCTTGATTTTTGTCTCACCAGCAAGGAAAGTCAAGAAAGGCGAGACATAGGTGTTGCTTTTCTGTTCGATGGGAACTACTTGTTATAGATCAATGATATTTTCTATAAAGTTGCATTACTATCAGTACATCTCAGTTTGATGACTATTTCAATGCCCTGTCCCCAAGGTCATGGTCCAGTGACTTTGAATTAAATACCAATTTTAAATGTTAAGTTTTCTGCTTAAGTTAGTTTGATAGGAACTTCTTGTGATAGATCAATGATATTTTCTATAAAGTTGCATTTCTATCAGTACATATCAGTTTGATGACTTTTTTAAAAACCCCTTAGGTCATGGTCCAGCAACTTTGCTGTCCATCAGATTTCTTTTTCTGACAACAGGTGAGTCATATCTCTGTGTAAACAGTTTATTATACTCCAACTGTGTACAGTTGTCTGATATGTTTTAAAGTGTCTCATAAGTCTATTCAAAGGCTGGATATTTGATCTCTGTTTTTATTATGAATTGTTGTATATATATATTGTCTGATCAAATATGTGACACTATAATAAAATAATTATTTATTTTATTTTTATTTTATTTAGTTATTTGCGCAGTGAAATTGCATTGACTGTATATTCATTTGTGATATACATTCACAGACTGACTTTATATATCATTGTTTATGACGTTGACAATATGTTTCTGTTGAAATTCATCTATATATGACAGAAATAAAGAATACAGGTTTGCAATCTTTTAAAGTTGTCCGCTTCAAATTTGACCAAAATTATTCCATTTGGAATAGCTATAAACGATACAGTGTAAAGAAAAAAACATTAAAATGTCTCGAAATATATACATTTTATTTTTTACTCGGCTCGAAGCAGGATAGGAATGCTCAGCAAAAGCCATACATTTTACAGGCTTCTAAGTCTTGTACAAATAAATTTTATGTTTTGAGATTTAAGAGTTAATCCTCTTCATGTTCTTGAACATATAAGGCATCAACAAGGGACCTCCAACTCGTTCTATCTTTTGCAATTTTCTTTATCTGATTCCAGGTGTAACCATGTCTTTTTATACGACCGCAAAAAAATTTTGAGGTCGTATATTGGTATGACGTTGGCGTCGTCGTCCGGCGTCGTCGTCCGAATACACAATGGTTTTCGCACTCTAACTTTAGTTTAAGTGAATGGATCTCTATGAAATTTTACCATAAGGTTCAATACCACAATAGGAAGGTGGGGATTGATTTTGGGGGTTATGGTACCAACAGTGAAGGAATTAGGGGCCAAAAAGGGGCCGAAAATAAGCATTTTTGTAACTTCCAGACATAACTTGTGTGTTAGCATATGGATCTCTTTGACATTGTACCACAAGATTCCATATCACAAAGGGTCAATGCTGGGATTGATTTTGGGGTTAATTGCCTCAAAATTTTAGGAATAAGGGGCCAAAAGGGGGCAAAAAACAAGAATTTTTCTAGTTTCATGACAATAACTTGTGTGTAAGTGTATGGATCTTTCTGAAATTTTACTACAAGGTTCCATTTCACAAAGGGAAAGCTGGAATTGAGTGTTGTGGTAATTGCCCAAAACGTTTAGTAATAAGGGGCCTAAAAAGGGGTTTAAAATAAGCATTTTTTAGTTTCTAGACAATAACTTGTGTTCAAGTGTATGGATCTCTCTAAAATTGTATTACAAGGTACCATACCACAAAGGCAAGGCTGTTATTGAGCTTGGTTTGGGGGAAAAGGGGGGTGGGGGTGATGAATCATAAGGGGGCGGGGGTCAAAAAAGGGGTAATTTTTTTTTTTTTCCTTTTTTTTTTTGTTTAAAATTTACATTTTAAGTTAGTTATTTTTTATCACGAAGAGAAAGTAGGAATTGAGTTTTGGGGTTAATTGCTCAAACATTTATGAATAAGGGGCCAAATATTGGTCGAAAATAAGGATTTTTTTTAGTTTGCAACAAAAACTTGTGTTCAAGTGTATGGATCTCTGTGAAATTGTATTGCAATGTACCATACCACAAATTGAAGGTTGTGATTGAGGTGTGGAAGATGAATCAAAAGGGGGTTGAAAAAATGTGGGGGGTAGGATTTTTTTTTTTCCTTTTTTTTCTTTAAAATTTTCCATTTAAAGATGGTTGTTTCAGATTTATATATGAAAGAAAATAATAATGATACGGTTATATATCATGAGGAATTGAAATTTAAAATTATGTATATTGGAAATTTAGGTTACATTGGAAAGTAATAATTGGCTTTGGGGGGTGGTTATGGCTCTAATGTTTAAGGAATAAGGGGAAAAAAGGTTAAAAAAACAAGGGTTTCCATTTTAATAGACAAATAATTGAGTAAAGAACATTATTTAAAAGCAGTGTAAGGTTGGTAATTCAAACTCATTTAAATATCTCATCTACACTGCTTTTAAATTATGTAAATTGGAAATTTGCCAATAACTTTATTGTTAATAAATGCATTGGAAATTTGCCAACAATTTTAGTGTAATAAACTTCATTGGAAATTTGCCAATATAAAATTTTGCTGATGAAGGTTTTTTGTTTACCTTTAGCCTTGACTATGAAGTCATTTTCTATTTTTATAGCCTTATGATGTAGTTGAATTATTTAATACTTTTATGATGTGTTTAAATGGGGTTTTATCATGTTTATGGTTGCAAATTTATTGTTTTAGTATAATAAACTCCTTTTAAAATTTGCCAATAAAAAAAATTTTTGTTTATTTTTAGCTATGATTATGATGTCATTTTCTATTTTACTTTTATGGTTGCAAAGAAATTTTTATTTTTAGATATTACTGTTAAATGATGCTGATTAAGGTTTTTGCTATGTTTAGCCATGACTATGATGTCATTTTCTATTTTAATATCTGTTATGATGTATTTAAATGGGCTTTTATGGTTACAAAGGAATTTTATTTTTAGATATTACTATAAAATGTTGCTGATGCTGATTAAGGATTTTGTTTATTTTTAGCCATGACTATGATGTCATTTTCTATTTTAATACCTTTATGATGTAATTTCCATTTTTAGATATTACTGTTAAATGATGCTGATTAAGGGTTTTTTGCTATGTTTAGCCATGACTATGATGTCATTTTCTATTTTAATATCTTTATGATGTATTTAAATGGGCTTTTATGGTTACAAAGGAATTTTATTTTTAGATATTACTTTAAATGTTGCTGATTAAGGATTTTTGTTTATTTTTAGCCATGACTATGATGTCACTTTCTATTTTAATACCTTTATGATGTATTTAAATGGGCTCCCATGTATTTAGATTTTTGATTATTTATACATGTTACCAAATTGGTCCACATTGAACAAAAACGGTCCAAATTTCAACTTTATTACATTACATCAAACATTGAATTCTACATATTCTTTGATATATTGAAATTAACAAACAATTTAGTTTATGGATATTCCACCATAATAGGTAAATTAAATTTTTTCCAGTTCTTACACCACATTCATCCTGTGTCAGAAACCTATGCTGTGTCAAATATTTAATGACAATCCAAAGTCATAGCTGTATCAAGCTTGAATTTTGTGTCCATACTTGCCCCAACTGTTCAGGGTTCGACCTCTGCGGTCGTATCAAGCTGCGCCCCAGCGAAGCATTTTATTATCTCTGCTGCTATATCCCTTCTCCATGTGCCTTTAGGTCTTCCAGACTTTCTTGTCCGTTGTGGTGTCCATGTCAGCACCTTTTTCACATGCCAGTTGTTATCCATTTGCAATATATGTTTATTTGAGATTATGTATAGTTATTCTGAATATAAATTTGAGATTATGTATAGTTATTCTGTATATAAATTATTTAGGCAAAAGAGAAGGTACATTAATGTTATGGATCAAATTAATGAAAGTTTGGTTATTAACTTTTAAAAAAAAGTACAGAAGGTAGAAAAATATCCAGGGAGAGAGTAGATGAATAGATAAGACCTACAATAATTCGGGAACTACTTTGACAAGTTTTCTTGAATATTGGACTCCATAGATCCATGTAAATATAGATGAAAAATTAAGGAAAAATTAAAATGTTACAATTCAAAGAAAAAAAACATTGACTGATTTATATTACAACAATATATTCACTTCTTATTTGCACAATACTTCATACCTTTTTGTTGTGGCAATTGGATATTGTATAAAAGATCTCCCTCTGTCTGTCCATCCTAGACACATCAATACACAGAGATGGTTTCACAGAGAGCTTTCATACTTGGTAGGATTATTTGTCATCTTTTTCACTTGACTGAATGGTATTGTGAGTTTGATTTTACAATTTTGACTGGAACTATGGGACTTTAACCATTTTTTTTCAGTATTTTAACAAGACACCTTGTGAACACAACTCCTTTTAATATAACATTTTACTGATAGCTCTCATATTTGGTGGGATTGTCTGCCATCGTGTGTAGTTGATAAAATTGTACCACCATTTTGTTTTGGCCATTTTTCTGGATATAATGGGACTTTGACTATTTTTGGAGAAATGTAACAGTGCCATCTTGTGAACCCAACTCCTCTTGAGATAATTTGACAGAAAACCTCTCATATTTGTTAGGATTGTTGGCCTCAATTGTTGTTTATTATATTATACAATCATTTTGATTTGTCAAACGTTTACTATATATTGAATGGTAAACACAAATCCATCTAGACTGTTGACAGAAAGCTATCATATTTGGCAGGATGGTTAGCCATCATTTGAAGTTGACCATATTATCCGTCATCCTGGTACAACACAATTCCTTTGAGACTGCTTACAGAAAGCTCTTATGGTGGATTGTTTATACCAGATCATATGCCATTACAATATATTTTTGTGCTCATATATAACCTATGTATTAGTATAAGTGCCAAGTATAAGACTGTCTGTCCCATGTACATGATGTAGTCATGAAAATATGACAGTGATAAACAAAACCAAAGACAGTGTTCTTGTTTCATCCATTTAAGTTAAGAGGTTTTCAAATTACTGATAACTTGTACAATGAAAGTGTTTTTGATTGCATCCATATTGGAGTGGGAAATAATGATTAAACTTTGTACTTCAGTGGTTCAACTACATTTATGGACAAAGGAAGATAACTCCAAATTTAAATATTTTTTTAACAATGTTTTAGAACAGACACCAATTTATGTAATTTTCTTGAAATATATGTTTATTATATACACATAAACAACATTTTGTACCTTTAATACTTGAGTATATTTTTCATTGATAAATTTCTTGGAATGTTCAATGATAGGGTGTATAGAATGTTGTGCAAAATGCACTATCTTAAAAATAAGAAGATGTGGTATAATTGCAGATGAGACAACTCTCCACAAGAGACCAAATGACACAGAAATTAACAACTATAGGTCATTGTACGGTCTTCAACAATGAGCAAAACCCATAAAGTCTGGATAGAGAGCCACTTAATGGTTTTGATTGCATAATTTCAATTCTTACCCTGAAACATATGTACAAATTGTACACAACAGTGAACACATATACAGATAGGGATGGACAAATGTAAATAAATCTGTCCCAGCCAAGAATTAAAATGATAGAAGACGCTGCCACCTATAAATGTAATCTTTTAATTAATTTTATTATAAAAATAACAAATAATAAACATCTTGTTTTAAATTGTTTTGGCAAAGTTTTAAATTTAAATTTTTTCATTGCATTGTTAATATTACATTATAGTTGCATTTCAAGTGTTATCCGTACCAAATTAAGAATTCTTGTAATATCTGACAATAACCAGAATGATCCAAATACTATAATACCATAACAATATGACTAACCAGTTGAAAACATATAATATAAATATAAATATCAACATTATATCTATGCATGTACTTGTTTGTAAAGATTACCAAAGTTATATTACAATTTTGTAATTCAATTCTGGTCTTTTAAAAATATCATATGGTAAATTTTCTTACAAATTCCTTTACATGAAACCCTGAGTAAGGTATACATATGACGATTATATATAATAAGTAAACAAAATGGATATATTGTAAAGTTGGTGCATATATGCCATTTACTGTTGATTCATTATTATTAGTGAGATACTATTTTTCGTGGCTAGTTGTCTTATTGGAAATCATTCCATGTCTCCTTATTTTTATAACAATGAAATTGATGAAAAATAACAAATCCCCTTTGTCTCTCCTTTACACAGATTTAACAAAAAGTCAATCATATCTTGGTTTACACATTTGATTTTTATCACAGATATTGACAACCAGATTGACACTTTGTACATAGACTTTGACTGTCACTTTTACACATTTATGATTATCAAATTTGTTCAAATTATCACTGAAAATCACTCTATATGTTCACACTTGTACTTGTCTTTCCATTAACTACAATTTACATTTGGACAGCTCTGCTTGTGGTCCTTTCCATTCTTCACCTGAGAAATAAAATAACCACATAATATATATATGAGGGTGGGGGGGGGGGGGGGGGGGGGGGGGGGGGGTAGGAGGGGTCCTGATCCCGAAATCCCGGGCTTAAAAACATGGAATCCCGAGGTCCCGAATTTAAAAAAATTTAAATCCAGACATCCAGAAATTTTTAAAAAGAATTCCCGGACCCCAAAAGGATCAATCCTGAAATCCCAAGCTTAAAAACACCCGATCCCGGAGTCCCGATAAAGGTCCTACCCCCCCCCCCCCCCCCCCCCCCCCCCTTCCCCCCCATTTATACGGTATACACATATCTTGTCAGTTGTTGTCTAATGTTGTATATTCATGTTTTTGTTATTTGGAGAATTTTACCCCCAACAATAATGTTAAACTGACTTTTTGCTATGTAAAGTGTTTTGTACATTGTATATTAGTTCCAATGATTTTGTACACAAAAATGTTCATCTTTTCTACTCTTGACATAACACCTGTTACTGCATCAAAGTTTCTCAAATAGTTCTGTTATCAAATATCTCTAACGAGTTTTGGTAGCAGTCCTTCAATTGTGGAAAATTTGTAGTAATTAAAACAACCCTCTTTTTATTTGCCGAAATATAACCTAATAAAACATACTAATGATGTCTCAGACATTATCAGGACATTTTTTAATATTCATTTCCACTGAAAATACATAATAATATTATGATCATTACCACAATTTGGAATCTGTTTTACAAATTTAGCTTGGTAATATTGACAGTCACTATATTGCATCAAATCCACCTTTTATTTTTATAATGTATCCATAAATTTTTTGGGAGAAATTAGACTGGACTTAAATCATATGTCACCGTTCTACCTAATAGCTATTCACTTCTGTTGACACAGCCTGTCTTAAGTAATGTAACATATTTTACAACATTTCATTCTTTAGGATATTGAAACAGATCACTGTAAATTTAACACACAAGCTGTATCCCATTTGGTGGAATCATAATTATAATTTTAGTAACAAAGTTGTTTTGTGTATATCCTCCGAGATTGCGATACAGTCACCTTATTTATACATAATGGTTCCAGCCAGTTCAGTCACACATACTGGTTGAGGATCTGTTACCGTCATCTTGCATTTTATGCAATAAAGGACATGTTGCATAAATGTGGCATAAGCTATTATTTTCATAAAAATACTCTTAATTTCAAAAACTTGGTTTTGTTTGATCCTATCAAGACTCTGAAATCTTGATTTTTTTTTCTTTTACCATGTCATAGGAAGATAAGCATGTGGGGACATGATGCCCTCTGTTTTAGAAAACTGACCTTTTTCAGATAAGTAATAGCAAAGTATACTGTCGTGAATATAGGCCAAGAGACTTTAGTACGTTATGTTATGTAATTGTTTCTCGTACTTTCGCGCACACTTTTGTAATTAAAGAAAGATAAATAAAGAGCTGCTGAACCAACGCCTCCTATGTTTTGTGCTGGTAGAGTTCCCTTAAGTGGATACCAGATGGTATGCAGGGTTGTCGAAGAATTCCAAGAAGTCAACAAACAACTGATACCATCAATAACTGCTGAAAAACCACCAAACAAAAGAAAAATTGCATGAAGAATAAACAGAGGATTACATTCCTACATCAGGACTGCCAATATATCAAGATTTATATGTACCATCATTCCGTGCCATCAGAAAATTAAATGTAAAATTGTTTAAGTGTGAAACCATAAAAAGGATCTTTCAAGAGTAAATGGAGATGACACAAAAAAGCCAAGATAGATTTTCAGTACTATTTAGAACCTACAGAAAATTAAACTTAAAAGAAGTAAGATACAAAGAACATAAATCCTTCTTAACACCATTTCCAGTTAAACCAACATTGCCAAGAAATTTTGCAACAGTAAACCACTTTACAGCATTCCCGACGCGATTGGAAGTAGTACCTCTGGCCAAAGGGAAGCCAGTCGAAGTGGTAGGGGTGTGCCCTAAAAGTGTTGTTCAAATTAAGGAAGAAACTTCATACAAACTGTACACTGACATTGTACTTACATTCATGTTAAACATAAATTTATTTAAAAACACATTTTATTTATACACTTACCATAAGAATAGTTTACAACCATTTTTAAGATAAAGACAATTAGAACAATTATAGATTAACTCTGAATTTAGTAACTTCATTTGCATTGTACTATGTTTGATTCATTTTCTGTTCAACATTACATAATGATATAGAGTATCCTATAGCAACGTCAACAATGGACAATTATGACGTCATATACAAGATGCCAGTTTTTTGTACTTCAGGGGTTCTAATTTTGTATATTTTGTCCTGATGACGCCGATCTAATCAGCGAAACATGTCGACAATAAAAGATGTAGTTTACTTAAGTGTTGTTGTCAATGTAGCGGTATTACACTTTTGTAATGTAACGTAACGCTATTGTTACGTATCTATTTATCTTACGATCATAAAGCATCTCAACTAGCAAGACGTTATTTTCTTCCACAAGTATTACAAAGTTAATAACCCGCAAGATATATACTTTGGACATAAAATTTCCTTGAAAGGAATAAAAAAGGTTTATTAATTTCAGAATCAATTTCTATGATCCCCTTCAAGGCAGTGTAACTTGTTGATTTCAGGTGACATAAATTCGAGATCCGTTTTGATTGAGCAAAAGTCCAAGAGATTCAGAATTCATGGATGGAATGACGATGTTGATGGTTCATTTGATAAACCTCTATTTCTGTTTGACTAAAAACTGCACAATGTGACGATAGTTTTCTTATTAATAGGACATTTCTATAATTTAGAAACTAGATTCATAAGTGACAGTAACTGGTCCTAAATTTCAAGCAAAAATAGGCACACAAGTAACCTGCTTTTCGCTGTATACAGAGGAATTTAGTCCGATTCTATGGTTCTTGACCTAACTTTTGGTTACTTTTATCGTGTGAAAAATATTCCCAAAAGTATTTCCTGTTCAAAGTTATTTGAGAAAAACTGTGAATATCTGATGGCAACGGGTACTGACCAATAATGGTTTTGATCATAATACATGTACTTCCTAAATCCCATTTTTTTACCAACTTCAGGTCTGATTGGCATGAAATGAAGAATTTTGTAGATAATCTTCAAGTAAGTTTAAATATATTGCCTTGTAATTTCTAAGGACATGAAATTTAAAAATTGACCAATCAGAATTAAGAAATTACTTTGGCACTTAATTTTTTTCTCAATCTAACAGAAATACAACATTTTCGTTTAAGACCTGTTTCCAGGAAAGTTTGGTTAGGTAAGACAAGTATTTTTTTCTCAATAATCTTAAATATAATACTGGTACAATATGAATTTTACATAACATAAATTACCTAATATCATGGCAAGAATTGGGAACCTGTCTGATCCAAACACTAACTCTGGTTTGTTATTTACATGAGCTATTATTGTTGGTGCACCAAATGTCTGAAAAAAACATGTAAAAGAGAATAAAATCCATTTTACCTCTGGTTTTTATGTGTGACAGTGTCATTAGTTAGAAAAAGAGTGCAAGCAAAGTAAAATTTATTTTCAATCACTTATAAAAACATTGTTCCTAAAAAAACCTTTTCAATTTCAAATTCAGGATATTTTATACTAAACAAGTTTTTTCAATCAACCTGAACTCTTCATATTGCATTTTAGATAGTTTTATGTCTGTGTATTTAAAACCTTAAATAACAACAATAATGTAAACTGAAAATTCAATCAACCAACATCATCTGACACGAACACAATAAAATTTGAAACATGAATATGGTTTTTCATACCAGACATATGATCTCCAGAGTATTTATTTTTCTGTTTTACCAAAAATATCTGTTCTGAGGGTTATGCATTTCTTTGTCATGTTTGTTTTAGCCAATATCATCATGCAGAAAATGTGTTTTATAAAATTTCTGAAATTCATGTGTTTATTTACCATTGAAAATCCCTGACGACCATTAAAAATACATGATTAATCAAGTCCATCTAAAACTGTGTTCTATGAGAGCATTACTAGGATGAGTTTTTTGTTTTTAATGCACTAAATGCCTGATTGCATTTATCACAATATTTCTGAATTTACGGGTATTAGAAGCAATAATAGAAAATATTAAAAACGATACCCCATAATTCAAAGCTTCTGTTGTGTTTTTCTTCAGTCTGTTTTTGACATCATCATCTTTTATTTTAGCCAGAGCATTCTTGGCAATCTCTTCACTTATTCCAACTTTCTTGGCTGCCTGGTTAAATAAAATGCTATTGAAATATAAAAAGGGGGAGGGTTGAGGGCTTAAAAACTAGTTTAACTCTGCCACATGTAATTATGTCCCTTTTCAATTTATTAACTTCATCATTGTTGTCTTTGCTTATATATAAGGGTTTTGCTTTGTGAATTTCATGGCATATCTTTGATAGTCTCTAATGAATATATTCAAAAAACCTAATTATTTGCACATGGTCATGTTTTTTAGTATGTTTTTGGTGTCTTTACACTAAATCTGTTGGTTGTTTCCTGATTGATATTTTTTCCTGGGCAAACATGATTTAATTATTAGTGATTCGCTACATTGGTATGTAATTACGAGAGTCTTAAAATGGTACATGTGTCTTTTGTCTTTTTGTCATTTTGAAGTTGATGTTTGTGTTTCCTACAGATCTGATGAGTCAAACCCTTTCCAACTGGTTTTTACACTTTGTTCTCATGTTGTGTTATTTCATCAATATCCCAGGTAAAAGGGGAGGGTTGAGCACTCACACACATGTTTAAACACTATCACAATCTTTATGTGCATGTCCCAAGTAAGGTTCCAGTATACGTAATTCAGTGGTGGTTATTGATTGCTATCTGCAATATTTGCTTTCATCTATTGTTCAAACCTAAATCAGACAATTAATTTTTGCATTTGAATTGTTTCTCCTTTTGTTATGCCAGTGCCTTTTAAAGCTTATTATAGGGTATGGTGTTTTCTCATTGTTGGAGGCCATACTTTGCCCTATAGTGGCTGTTCTCTGGAGGATAGCTGTCTCATTGCCAATTATACCACAACTCCTTATTTTCATTTATGTGAGTGAGTTCCAGTTGGCATGGTTGGTTCAGTGCTTTTAAATAAATGGTAAAGCGTCAATGTTTTTTTTAATGCATACCGGGTACATATATATATATATATATATATATACCTTAATTTTCTACTTTATTTCATGGACCAAGAGCTATGCAGTTAAAAACCAACATATGGCAAAATAAAATACTGTGCCATGTGACCATAGAGAGTAATTTTCAACAAGTTTACATAACTCATATCATCACAAAATATAATATGACCTTACCTCTAGAAAATCATTTTGATTAAATATGCCTTCATCCTGTCAAAAACAAGTTTTATATAAATATTAAGCTGCATTGACATTAGAATGTTTCTAAAATATATACAGTAAATATAATTTCTAATTCATCTAATATTCTTAATTTCAACACCCTAAGTGAATATATCAATTGGGGGTCTCATTGGGGGGTTCTGATCCCGGATCCCGCTTATTTTTGTGAGATTCCGGTATCCCGCTTACACTATGTACGTAAGCAATTCTCATTTTTTTTCTAATTTCCCGTATCCCGCTAGACTTCATTTCCCGTTTTCACGGCACAATAATTTGACTTTCACGTGTCACGCTTACAAAAAATCGGCAATCCCGCGTCACGCTTAGACCCCAATGAGACCCACTCAATTGTTCTAGCTATAAATATAGAATCTGGTATCTACATTGTATGATGAGTTTATTTACAATCACTGGGTCCATGCCACTGCTGGTGGATGTTTCCTCTCTGAGGGTTTCACAAGCCCAGTATTCAGCATTTCTGTTTTGAAATGAATTATCATTGATATGGTCATAATTTTTAATTACCTGTATACAAAACTTTATGGAGACAGTACGAAAGTTACAATTATCATAGGCTTTAATAATCAAGACATACATATATACTGGGAAATTGTCAGTATAATCAATTTATATCTAAAAATAAATGATCTATTTGTATTTGATTTCTGATAATTAATTTTTATTTTTTAGTTTTTTTTGCAGCACTTACAATAGAAGGGGGCATTATGCTTTCCAGTCTGTACATCTGTTTGTTATGCTTCATGTTTAAGCATATACATTTATGAACACTGAAGCACTGAACAGATTGATTCATATGTCATGCACAATTTGATGTAATTTTTCTTTATCCACCAAAAAAAAAGAAATCCTAACCTACAGTCCTAATAATTCTTAATCAAGAAAGAAAAAGGAGAGAGAGAGTGAGAGAGAGAAGAAGAGAATCAGAGAGACTGAAAAAGAGATTCTCAAATGATTTATATCTTAGTTTTTCATATCTTGGTAAAACAATAGTCTTTTGTTGTTATATTTTTGAAACCCTGTAACACCTTAGTCAGGTAGTGCTGATAGGGTGATGTAAAATCCTGACTATTGAAAAAAATAAAAAAAAAATAAAAAAATAGTAAAAAAAAAAAAATAATTCTTAAACAGGAAATCCTTAAAACACCTATATTTTGTTGGTTTGCCGGTCCCAAGTCAGGAGCCTCTTGCCTTTGTTAGTCTTGTATGATTTTTAATTTTAGTTTCTTTTATATATTTCGGAGTTTAATTGAAGACCCATTGGTGGCCTTCGGTTGTTCTCTGCTCTTTGGTCGGACACATTCCCCATTTCCATTCTCAATTATATTTGCCTTACCCTGCTCCAAGCTCTCATCCATAATTCTCGTGACAGGTTTTCTGTACATTCTGGATGGTCAATATCTACTGCTGTAATAAATCTCATGGCTGTTAACGAACCTTTCTCAAACATTACTTCAGCTGGATTCTGTAAAAAACATAATGTAAATATGTGTATAATAAAATGCTCCGCAGGGCGCAGCTTGATACGACCGCAGAGGTCGAACCCTGAACAGTTGGGGGAAGTATGGACACAACATTCAAGCTTGATACAGCTTTGGATTTGGATTGTGATTAAATATTTGACACAGCATAGGTTTCTAACACAGATTGAATGTGGTCTAAGAACTTAAAAATTTTAAATTGGACATTCACCTATTATGGTCCAATATCCAAAATCTAAATACATGGTTAGATTCAGCATATCAAAGAACCCCAAGAATTCAATTTTTGATGAAATCAAACAAAGTTTAATTTTGGACCCTTTTGACCTCAATGTGGACAAAGTTGATAACGGGGCCCAAAAATCAAAAATCTAAATACATGGTTAGATTCAGCATATCAAAGAACCCCATATATTCAATTTTTGTTGAAATCAAACAAAGTTTAATTTTGGACCCCGATTTGGACCAACTTGAAAACTGGGCCCATAATCAAAAATCTAAATACATGTTTAGATTCAGCATATCAAAGAACCCTAAGAATTCAATTTTTGTTAAAATCAAACTAAGTTTAATTTTGGACCCTTTGGACCTTAATGTAGACCAATTTGAAAACGGAACCAAAAATTAAGAATCTAAATACACGGTTAGATTCGGCATATCAAAGAACCCCAATAATTCAATTTTTGATGAAATCAAACAAAGTTTAATTTTGGACCCTTTTGACCTCAATGTGGACAAAGTTGATAACGGGGCCCAAAAATCTAAATACATGGTTAGATTCAGCATATCAAAGAACCCCATATATTCAATTTTTGTTGAAATTAAACAAAGTTTAATTTTGGACCCCGATTTGGACCAACTTGAAAACTGGGCCCATAATAAAAAATCTAAATACATGTTTAGATTCAGCATATCAAAGAACCCTAAGAATTCAATTTTTGTTAAAATCAAACTAAGTTTAATTTTGGACCCTTTGGACCTTAATGTAGACCAATTTGAAAACGGAACCAAAAATTAAGAATCTAAATAAACGGTTAGAATCGGCATATCAAAGAACCCCAATAATTCAATTTTTGATGAAATCAAACAAAGTTTAATTTTGGACCCTTTTGACCTCAATGTGGACAAAGTTGATAACGGGGCCCAAAAATCAAAAATCTAAATACATGGTTAGATTCAGCATATCAAAGAACCCCATATATTCAATTTTTGTTGAAATCAAACAAAGTTTAATTTTGGACCCCGATTTGGACCAACTTGAAAACTGGGCCCATAATCAAAAATCTAAATACATGTTTAGATTCAGCATATCAAAGAACCCTAAGAATTCAATTTTTGTTAAAATCAAACTAAGTTTAATTTTGGACTCTTTGGACCTTAATGTAGACCAATTTGAAAACGGAACCAAAAATTAAGAATCTAAATACACTATTAGATTCGGCATATCAAAGAACCCCAATAATTCAATTTTTGATGAAATCAAACAAAGTTTAATTTTGGACCCTTTTGACCTCAATGTGGACAAAGTTGATAACGGGGCCCAAAAATCAAAAATCTAAATACATGGTTTGATTCAGCATATCAAAGAACCCCATATATTCAATTTTTGTTGAAATCAAACAAAGTTTAATTTTGGACCCCGATTTGGACCAACTTGAAAACTGGGCCCATAATCAAAAATCTAAATACATGTTTAGATTCAGCATATCAAAGAACCCTAAGAATTCAATTTTTGTTAAAATCAAACTAAGTTTAATTTTGGACCCTTTGGACCTTAATGTAGACCAATTTGAAAACGGAACCAAAATTTAAGAATCTAAATACACAGTTAGATTCGGCATATCAAAGGACCCCAATAATTAAATTTTTGATGAAATCAAACAAAGTTTAATTTTGGACCCTTTGGACCTCAATGTGGACCAATTTAAAAACGGGGCCCAAAATCCAAAAACTAAATACACGGTTAGATTCAGCATATTAAAGAACCCCATGAAATCAAGAATAAAACCCCATTGAAATTGGTCAAGAAATAAGCAATTTATAGGAAGTATCTTCTTTTGCAAAATCCTGTGCTATTAAATATTTCTTGCTATTGTGCAATACTGTACAATTGACAATTTCTTGCTATTGCGCAATATTGTGCTATTGGATATTTCTTGCTATTGCGCAATACTGTGCAATTGAAGATTTCTTGCTATTGTGCAATACTGTGCAATTGAAAATTTCTTGCTATTGCACAATACTTATTATATAATAATTTACACATCCTGTTTGGTGTGTATCTCCTACCATATCATTATTATTTGATTTTAAATATAAATCAGAAATAACCAACTTAAAATGGAAAATTTTAAAAGAAACAAAAAAGGAAAAAAAGAAAAAAAAGGAAAAAAAAATAAATCCCCCCCCAAAATTTTTTGAACCCCCATTATGATTCATCACCCCCAAACTCAATCCCAGCCTTCCCTTTGTGGTATGGTACCTTGCAGTACAATTTCAGAGAGATCCATACACTTGAACACAAGTTATTGTCTGGAAACTAGAAAAAAATGTGTTTTTTGGCCCCTTTTTGGCCCCAAATTCCTAAACGTTTAGGGCGATTACCCCCAAACTCAAACCCAGCTTTCCCTTTGTGATATGGAACCTTGTAGTACAATTTCAGAAAGATCCATACACTTACACACAAGTTATTGTCATGAAACTAGAAAAATGCTTGTTTTTTGCCCCTTTTTTGGCCCCTAATTCCTAAAATTTGGAGGCAATTACCCCCAAAATCAATCCCAGCATTCCTTTAGAATGGATCTTTATGAAATTTTACCACAAGGTTCAATACCACAAAAGGAAGGTTGGGATTGATTTTGGGGGTTATGGTAATAACAGTAAAGGAATTAGGGGCCAAAAAGGGGCCAAAAATAAGCATTTTTGTAACTTCCAGACATAACTTGTGTGTCTTTAGAATGGATCTTTATGAAATTTTACCACAAGGTTCAATACCACAAAAGGAAGGTTGGGATTGATTTTGGGGGTTATGGTAATAACAGTAAAGGAATTAGGGGCCAAAAAGGGGCCAAAAATAAGCATTTTTGTAACTTCCAGACATAACTTGTGTGTTAGTGTATGGATCTCTCTGACATTGTACCACAAGGTTCCATATCACTAAAGATATGTATTGAACCTTGTGGTAAAATTTCATAAAGATCCATTCACTTAAACTAAAGTTAGAGTGCGAAAACCAATGTGTCTTCGGACGACGCCAGACGACGACGACGACGATGCCGGACGACGACGACGCCAACGTCATACCAATATACGACCACAAAAAATTTTTTGCGGTCGTATAAAAAGTGGAAAATATTTAAAGACATATTATGCTAAATAGGCATCATTTACTCTGGTTGTGTTGAAGACCCATTGGTGGCCTTGTTATGTTTTCTGCTCTTTGGTCGGGTTGTTGTCTCTTTGACACATTCCCCATTTCCATTCTCACTTTTATTATGTATGTGCCTGTCCTAAGTCAGGAGCCTGTTAATGAGTGGTTGCTGTTGGTTACTGTCTGTCATATTTGTTTTCCTTTTATTTTTCTTGTAGTAGATCAGGCTGTTGGTTTTCTATTTTGAATAGTTTTATATTCTGCCATGTCAGGCAGTTAACAATAATGAGATGTGGCATGATTGCAAATGAGATAACTATCCACTAGAGACCAATTGAATCAAGCAACCACAGATCATTGTATAACCTTCATCAAAAAGCAAAACCACCCTGTACTTCTTAACCCCATCAGTGGTCTCATTGTAGTGTTTTCTCCTAGAGGTCAGGAGGTCACTGGTGTAAGATAAGAAATATCAAAGTAGGGTGTAGCAATGTTGCTTTTTTCATGCTTGCCCTGAAACTCAGAAAAATACACACACAAAGAACACCCTTATATAAGTCTCAGGGACCAACACTGTCAAAAAAGTCGATATTATTACGGAGAATACCGTGGATGTTTCAGATATTGCTGAAGTTTCTGTCAATTAAATACATTTTTGAATACCTTTGGAATTTTTATAGGTACTTGATAATATGTTCCTAGTCTTGGAATATCATATTTCATCATGTAAGCTCCTTTTGCAGGTACCATAGCTGGTGGACGATTTGCTGAATATGAAAAAATACAAAAAATACTGTGATATTAAATTCTTTGTTCATTTTTTAAGCATCATATGACATTTTTGCATTCAATAAAAGCTTAACATCCAGTTTCAAATATTACAAGCACATCCATGAGGGTCTTGAGGGGGGAGAGGGGTTTAATTTGTGTATTCTTAATTTTTTAGGCCATTAGATCCACATTAATCCAAATTCTTCTTTTTTTCCCCCATTTTTCTGTTTTTTTTAATTTCTGGCCCATTACCTGTATTCTTTATTTTGTAAACACCATCCAGGCCCTCATTCATGATAATACCATTTTGAAGAAATATGGTCATGAACTCTGGTTTGTACTAAGCCAATATGCTGGGCCAAATTTTTTAAAAGGTACTAACTTACTTACAAGGTAACTGACCAGCGGAATACATGTCAACCTACCTGGACACATTATTCTGACTCAAGAGCTGACCAGTTTTTGCTCATATTAAAAAACACTGTGTGAATGAAAAGGCCAAAACACTGTAAGTATCAATTTCAAAGTGGTTGCAATTGGTTTGACAAGGCTAGTATTGAACACACAACCTCTGATACTCAAGGTGAGCAAGAGACAAGGAAACATTTATTTCAGGGGTTCAAATTAGCGGTGGTCCGAGGTCCATGACCTTCCACTATTGCAATCGGACTTTCATTTTGGTTACTAGCTACGCCCGACAGACCTTCGATTTGAAAGAAAATAAAAATTAACTTTGCCGACCTTTATAACCATCAGTATCGTCATTTCAAAGCCATATTACTATTGACATGGTATACATGGTATACCCTTCAAGAGTGTACTTCAAACCATTTTAACTGTCTGCAAAATAAGTTTGGTAACCCATTAGAAGAGATGAAAGTTGCCTTAAGTAAATTTGTAATCCATTAATTGCATTAAAAACATCATATTCCCTTCCAAATAGCATTTCAAAAATCGTTTATTTTTGTAAATTTTCTCGTTCGCCATTGAAATATTTGTACAAACTACTGATCAGAGTCGGGAAACGGATCAGCTATGAATGAAAAAACAAACAAACATGGTCATGATTTCACTCTCCCAATAATATAGTCAATTTTTACCACAATATATGTTTTGTAAAGATTATCTGAAGCAGAAGGTCTTTTTTTTTTTAACCAAGACTGGTTTGGAAAACCAAATTTTAATTATTACGATTACTTACAGGATTCATTCATCACACCTCCCAGAAAAAAAGGCCTAAGTTTTAGATCCATGTTACCCCATACTGATTTATATCTGGTTAACACCTGAAAAGAAAAATCATATTTGTCTTACCAGTCAAGGCCATCACTATTTATAAGCAGTTGTTTTTAAATGACTGGTTTTTAGTTAGAGCCTCGTTTTAAAAGATAACTAATTAGGGTCATATTTTAAGAAAATTCTGAAATGGTTAATATTTGATTTCAATTTCATTAGTTATATTTTTCCCCCTCATAAACCATGAATCTTCCAATATGGACTGAAACTCACCTCTTTAAAATACTAATAATGCATTGTTGGTTTAATTAATGCTCAAAATTTCTCAGTAAAAACACTCATCGGATATTAAATTCTATTTAACTTTCAGACACAATATCAAGAGCAATTAATTGCATCATTATCTTGAAGGACTTGCAAAAGATGATATATATATATATATATATATATGGATGTCTATAGATCAAATACTTAACATTCAATTGCTTTTCTGATAAAAAACTGACAGTGTACATTGTTGTATTTGTAAAATTACTAAAACTAGCTATATATAGATATTCTCAAGATTACCTGGAGATATATGTGGGGTGAGTTGATTACCATGAAATGTGAAAAAGGGGGGGGGGGGGGGGGGGGGGCGATGGGGAGACCATTTTCTGGACAACAGGATTGGCAGATTTTAACAATGGGAAATCAGTATTGCCTTCCTTGGTTAAATGTCAGGAATTTGGGATAGCAATACATCGGGATACGGGAAAGCCACAGGAAATAAAGATTTTTATGCTGAAATTTAGCAGGATTGACAAAAAAACTGTACCTTGGACAGATCAAAGTGCCATCTTCATTATAATTCATTCAGAATTGGATCTAGAATAACATTAAGGGGAGTTGAACTACATGTAGTTTTACCTATTGTAAGATAGTCATTACTTGTGGTAGACTAGTTTCCAAGTAAAGTCATGAACATGGAAAGTGACGGTCTAAAAATCAGATTTTTTTAAATTTTGATAATGTTAACTAGTGTTTTGACTACATTATAAATCTTTCAAGTGACATTTGTAGTTCTTTTCATGTCTGTAATTTGGTTCAGTGCTTTTCCAAATGGTGACTCTATAGATTCAAATTCATCTCCGTTGCAAAACGATTCCAGTTCTTGTATTATCATGATTATGATTCTTGTATTGACTTGGACTGGATTTGGCCAATTCTCGGACTGGCTTCTGAAGATTTATGAGAACAAAAATGCTAATATGCAGCTTGACGTCATTTTAATATTGATAATAAATAGTCATATTGGTTATGGCTGACAGACTTTGAACATCAATTCTAATATGACGATCTTCTTTTGCTTTGGAAACAAAGCCATGTTCTAATTGCAATAGAACATGGCCTGCATGTGATTGACATTACAATTGAAATTGCAACGTCAGTTGTATTTTGAACAACGCCGGAGAACAAAATGGACATTTGTGTTGGTGTTGCTCACTAGGAAATTAAATAAAATCATCCTAAAAGTAAGTTTGCATGTATCTGTCCATTCTTTATCGTGAAACGGTTGAATTTTTATAACGTTTTGGCTTCATGAAATCAAAATGGCTGAGTTTAGAACATGTATTATAGGCCTGCTTTGAAGTACAAAAGTTCTAAATTTTCCTATTAGAATAGAAATAATTCTATCATGCCATGCTCTATGCTCATTTTAACATGGATAGGTATTATATTTGTCAACATTTTACAGCTTGCTAACGCTCGGTATAAAGATATCGACAAATATAATGCCTACCCATGTTAAAATGAGCATAGAGCATGCACAAGGGCTTGTTTAGTGGGTCAGATGAGGTTTTACTGTCAATGGCGATCGCTATCCTATGGTATTTTATATAGGATAGCGACCGCCATTGACAGTAAAACCTCATCAGACCCACCAAACAAGCCCCTGTGGAGCATGTAGAGCATGGCAAGAAGAGTTATTTCTTAATTATTCTGGAGACGTTTAAATCATACACATTGAACCTTCAAACTTTCAAATTGTCGAAACAAATTTATCAGGATCGTGATTTTTCACAAAAAATGTCCAGAATTCCAGGATTTTCTAATTTTAAAACAGGAAAATTGGGATGAGACCCCTCTCGACCCGAGATTTACTTTTAGTAGAGTAGCAAGTATCGAGTTGTAAAAAGTGAGTATCAAGTTGCAAAAAGTGAGTATCGAGTTGTCAAAAGTGAGTATCGAGTAGCAAAAAGTGAGTATCGAGTGGTCAACAGTGAGTATCGAGTTACAAAAAGTGAGTATCGAGTAGCAAAAAGTGAGTATCGAGTTATAAAAAGTGAGTATCGAGTTATAAAAAGTGAGTATCAAGTAACAAAAAGTGAGTATCGAGTAAAAAAAAGTGAGTATCGAGTTATAAAAAGTGAGTATCGAGTATCAATTAATAACCAACAAAAACATTATTTGTAAATAGAATTGTGTAAACAAAAAAATATCCAATTTATTAATCGAATCATACTGTACAATTTACAACATAGAGAGGGGTGCAGGTTTGATACTGTCGCATTGCTTGCTTCACGCAAACTGGTCAACTGAAGGAATATGAAGTAAGACCTTTGGTTCCATTGCATTTCTGTGCTGTAGTTGATTTAAACAAGACTTAGAAGTATGTAGATAAGGAATTAAACTGAGTTGATATATAATTAATTATTAATTAATATGGGTATAGACAAATGTCTGTGATATGACTTTTTCAGCATCTTCCTTGAAATAGCAACTGTCCCATTATTCTGAATTCCATATACAGTCAAACCTGCAATTAAGGGGACCACTAAAAGGAGAAGGCAAAAGTGGTCTCTTAATACAAGTGGTCTTTGAATACAGGTTCACCAATTTGAATAGGAGGAATCATGTATGTCCATTATAACTTGTGATCGTACAAGTGTAAGTAAACAATACTGTTTTGGTCTCATATACATGTATATCTGATATGACTAATTATGGGAACTGTTCATTAAATATGATATTAAATTTAATCCTTTCCTTATGTATTTTATTTAATTTTTTTAGATACATAACAAGACAAGATGTTTGTTATATTATCATGATAATGTCCAATCTAATTCCTGTAAAAATACCCCAGGGTGCAGAGCCTTCACATGTTCTTCAAGATTTTGTATAAATTGCCTCACTATGTAAATCAGGCAGCAGTAATGTTTACCAGCTTAAGAAAGTACTCCATTACAGATGCTACTAAAATCAACATCTGTTGTTTACTACTAAATTAGTAGTAGTTATAAAAAGTGAGTATCGAGTATCGAGTAATAAAATGTGAGTATCAAGTAGCGAAAAGTGAGTATCGAGTAGCAAAAAGTGAGTATCGAGTGGTCAACAGTGAGTATCGAGTTACAAAAAGTGAGTATCGAGTAGGAAAAAGTGAGTATCGAGTTATAAAAAGTGAGTATCGAGTTATAAAAAGTGAGTATCAAGTAACAAAAAGTGAGTATCGAGTAAAAAAAAGTGAGTATCGAGTTATAAAAAGTGAGTATCGAGTATCAATTAATAACCAACAAAAACATTATTTGTAAATAGAATTGTGTAAACAAAAAAATATCCAATTTATTAATCGAATCATACTGTACAATTTACAACATAGAGAGGGGTGCAGGTTTGATACTGTCGCATTGCTTGCTTCACGCAAACTGGTCAACTGAAGGAATATGAAGTAAGACCTTTGGTTCCATTGCATTTCTGTGCTGTAGTTGATTTAAACAAGACTTAGAAGTATGTAGATAAGGAATTAAACTGAGTTGATATATAATTAATTATTAATTAATATGGGTATAGACAAATGTCTGTGATATGACTTTTTCAGCATCTTCCTTGAAATAGCAACTGTCCCATTATTCTGAATTCCATATACAGTCAAACCTGCAATTAAGGGGACCACTAAAAGGAGAAGGCAAAAGTGGTCTCTTAATACAAGTGGTCTTTGAATACAGGTTCACCAATTTGAATAGGAGGAATCATGTATGTCCATTATAACTTGTGATCGTACAAGTGTAAGTAAACAATACTGTTTTGGTCTCATATACATGTATATCTGATATGACTAATTATGGGAACTGTTCATTAAATATGATATTAAATTTAATCCTTTCCTTATGTATTTTATTTAATTTTTTTAGATACATAACAAGACAAGGTGTTTGTTATATTATCATGATAATGTCCAATCTAATTCCTGTAAAAATACCCCAGGGTGCAGAGCCTTCACATGTTCTTCAAGATTTTGTATAAATTGCCTCACTATGTAAATCAGGCAGCAGTAATGTTTACCAGCTTAAGAAAGTACTCCATTACAGATGCTACTAAAATCAACATCTGTTGTTTACTACTAAATTAGTAGTAGTTATAAAAAGTGAGTATCGAGTACCGAGTAATAAAATGTGAGTATCAAGTAGCGAAAAGTGAGTATCGAGTAGCAAAAAGTGAGTATCGAGTGGTCAACAGTGAGTATCGAGTTACAAAAAGTGAGTATCGAGTAGGAAAAAGTGAGTATCGAGTTATAAAAAGTGAGTATCGAGTTATAAAAAGTGAGTATCAAGTAACAAAAAGTGAGTATCGAGTAAAAAAAAGTGAGTATCGAGTTATAAAAAGTGAGTATCGAGTATCAATTAATAACCAACAAAAACATTATTTGTAAATAGAATTGTGTAAACAAAAAAATATCCAATTTATTAATCGAATCATACTGTACAATTTACAACATAGAGAGGGGTGCAGGTTTGATACTGTCGCATTGCTTGCTTCACGCAAACTGGTCAACTGAAGGAATATGAAGTAAGACCTTTGGTTCCATTGCATTTCTGTGCTGTAGTTGATTTAAACAAGACTTAGAAGTATGTAGATAAGGAATTAAACTGAGTTGATATATAATTAATTATTAATTAATATGGGTATAGACAAATGTCTGTGATATGACTTTTTCAGCATCTTCCTTGAAATAGCAACTGTCCCATTATTCTGAATTCCATATACAGTCAAACCTGCAATTAAGGGG